CTGGATCCATGTGCTCCCCTCCTGTGCCAGGCAACAGCCAGCTGCAGAGCCTGTATCTCTGTCACAACCACTCGCTCCCTGCCAAGCTCTCCTGGGACGGGTCATGGTCCCCTCCCGATGCCCCCAACAGCTGCTGTTTTCCTGCTACATATCCCTCCCCAGGGGAGTGGGGCCATCCCTGGTGCCAGGGTGCCCAGGCTGGCTCCTGCCCTCGCTTGCATGGTGCCACCAGCTCACAGGAGCCACTCGGTGGGTGGTGGAGGATGAAGCAAGGCAGCAGCTGCCCTCACCCACAGCATGGGGACATGGCCCTGGGCCCACAGGTCCCAGCATGTGGGCACCTGCTGTTGGTGGGGAGGGGTGCACTGTGTGCTTGCCTCAGCTGCCCCAGGGGCCCTGCCAAGCAACCCACCTGGGCTGTTCCTGCTGGGGTTCACTGTGCCCCCCTGCAGAGGGGTCCTGCCAGCGCTCCCCACAGCAGGTGACAGCACTGTCCCTGGGGTGGTCAGCCTGCTGCAGCAGGAGGAGCGGGGGATGCTGGTGGCACACAACATCCCAGCCCTGCCTGGCCCAGGAGGGGACCAGCTGGCACTGCTGGAAGCCGTGCCACGTGCCATCTGGCTGGGATCTCCTCCGTGGCCAAGCCAGCCTCCAGGACCCACCAGCCACGGCTGCTCTGCTCTGTTCTCCCCAGGGCTTCAGCCAGGCAAGGAGTGAGCCCTGGGGCAAGGACGTACCTGGGCCACAGCCTCCTGCCTGGGGATGCCCACAATGGGGATTGGTGGCGGGGGGCTGAGGCGCAGGCAGAGCACTGCAAGCACAGGGCAGGAGGCAGGCAGGTTGCCAGCCAGATCCTGTTGGCTCGAGTCCGGGTGCAGCGAGCTGCTGGACCTGTCCGGCAGTGCTGCCGTGGTGGGCAGGGGCAGAGGGTTGCACAAGGGGCCAGGAATAGAGCAGCAGGAGGTGATTAGAGGCTGTGGGGCCCTGGCTGGGCAGCAGCAATAAATAGACAAGGCTTAGCTCCTGCCTACCTGGGCAAGGCTGCTGGGCATGCCTGCCCGCATGGAGTGGCCACAAACCGGGCCCAC